ATATATATATATATATATGCGCTTTTGCACCAAGGCCAACGGTCGAAGGGCCTCAGAACAGCCAGCGAGGACTGAAGCTGGATCTGCAGTGTTGGGAGACCTTTGGATTTGCAAGTCTTGGGGAATCCTGGCATATCTAGGACCACGGTTTAGGGTTTAGGGTTTAGGGGACTCCAGGACAACAGGCTTGTCCTTGTGCCTGTGCAAGAAGCTTTGGGTCTAGGCTGAGGAAGCCTCGCGAGTACCTCAAGCCCTTGCTACATGTGGGCTTCCGAAAATAGGGGACCCTAATAGTAGGATCCTTATTATAAGGACCCCTAAATAAGGTACCCCCTATTTTCGGAAACTCCCACATAGACTGTGTGACAGAGCCCGACCGTTGATTGCGCTCACTTTCTGGGAAAGGCGGCGAGCCCACAGCTGTCGAGGCGGCCTCTTTGGGTTTTGGCCGACAGTCTACCAATGTTTCACAAGGCTGTACGCGGGTAGTTGGCAGGCTCCTCCCGGAGCTTGAGCATCGAAAAGAGTAGACTGATCTTCGCCATTATTGCCTTCAATTCGCTCAGTTGGAAAGATTTCATGGGATGTTTGCAGGTTGGGGTTCGTGAAGAAGCGTGCATTTAGTCGGGAAGCAGAGCTGCGGATGCGGAGTGTAGCTATTTCTAGGCGCATGAGAGCTGCCCGCTTGTGATATTGGTTTGTGAGAAGTGTCAAGTATCGGATCGTCTCCATGAGGGTCGTCGTCGTGATTTTGGTTGTGATTGGGGGTATAAGTTATAAGGTGCAATGGTCCTGCCGTGCTTGTTGCCATTGTTGTGCGGTTCCGCCACAGACAGACAGTATCATAGTGCTCCTCCCATCATATTCGTGGTGTCGCAAGCTAGCTGTAGACCCCCGCCCCGGCCACAAGAGTGCCTGGTACTGCTCGCAGGCAAGCCCTGTCCAAAGGCAGCCGCGGCAGCCCCGATTTCATCGCTGCCCTAGTCTCTCAGGGTTGGGTTTAATCTTAGGTCTTGGGGATTGGAGTGTGTGTCAAAGTTGTTGTGAACTTCCAGGATTTACTTTCAAGTTTGATGAGCTCTCCCAGCCTCTTCGCTTCACTACATCGCAGTAGGGTCAGCGGTCATCTTCAATATGTCAGGGAGAGCTTGACGAACAAGCCCCTGGCTCTTGTTACTTAGATCTTCTGGGTCACATTGTTTCCTGCTCAGTTCCTTCACAAGTGCAGCGCCAGGTTGCACGAGGTGTTGAGCAGAATCAGCTGAATTTCATGCGGTCCCTTCGCGGCTGCCGTCCCTGAGCTCTATTCTGTCGGTTGATTGGGTAGAAGGCTAGTCGGCTAGTCCAGACCAGCGCCTCCGGTCGGAACTTCGGCTCAAGATTTCCTCCGCGGGGCTTTGCTCCAGGCCTCTTGACACGTGTTCACATCTCCCGTGCAACTGTAGCACGAAGCGCCTGCACTTGAAGACGCCGAGTTGCTGATTTGACTTTGCTGCAGGACCCGCATGGGCAGCTGCAAATCCACCCCTTCTCCTGCGGTCGGCACAGCCTCGGAGGACGGGCTCCGCCCCAAACCCTCAATGGATTGTGTGGAGCCTTGCCTGCGAGAGTCGAAAACCCTTGAGAGAGCACAAGCGTTTCGGGTGCCCAGTGGAAGGAACGATTCCTACCTTCCAGTCAGCCTCCCCATACCTTTGGAGCTGCGGGGCGGCGGCCGATGACATGAAGCAAGCGCCGAACAAAACCTCCCGAACTCATCCGAAACCTACACGGAGCCACCAGGCCATGGACCGCCCGGAATTTTCTGAAAAAAACCCAAAGGAGCCCCCGGCGAAGATGTCGCAGAAGGCCGAAATCGAACAGATCGTGGGCTCTCACAAGGCTCTGCCATGCGCTTAGGGCTTCCGGGGTCCTTTCAGTAGTCCTGTTATTGCTGGTTGATGTTAAGAGTTCCTTATGTTCGGAGCTTCGGCTGCGGATCGTGGCTTTGGCCCTCAGATCGCAAGTTACTAAGTTGCTGACATCAGGCACCGGTTCCCAGCTGCTGCTCACATACTTGGACTTCCTGCTGCAGTATCTGCGAAGTGCATTCCTCCTTGATTCATGGCAGGTGGTTGTGATAGCCAAGTCCGGTCCTTACGGGCGTGTGCATGTATGCGTGTGCGGAACTTGTTTTCACACGCCGGCCTCCAGCCCGCATCTCCCTACTGCGTGTGTTGGTTGCATGAACTTAGCTGCAGATGGGTGATGCTCAAGTATCCCTTAACTCCTATGTTATATTATATTGTATACTATATAATTTATACTATATATTATATAATATACCTCAGGTCATGGTGTCCATTCTGCACCAAGGCTGCCCGGTCTAGCGTGTAGCAATTTGGGCCAGGACCAGCGAGGGCAGTAAGCGTTCTTTCGCCCCTAGGCCTGTAGGCCTTCGGGTCAGCAAAGCGATGGGGCTAGCAAAGGGGGATGTACGGGCAGCCTACAAAGGTAGAACAGATAGAAGAGCCTAGGTCCTCTCCGCTTCTTGAGTCGCTGTAGTGCCAGAGACGAAAATTGAAAACGGAGCCTCTGCTCCGTGGGCATTAGCTGGATGGACGTTGAGTAGAGACAGTATGAAGGCGAGAAACAAAGCTTGCTGGAGACATGGAGTGGACATTATGCCTTCTTCACTCGGCTCGTTGGAATACCAGGGTCGGAAACAGCCCAAATCCTCATCTTAGCTTGTCCCGGTTGTGAGTGCTGAAACCCTCACCTGACGCCCAGCGGGACATCTCTTTGTGGTTATCCCTCCTCAAACGTGGGTCTCACCTCCTACCGACCACGCACCAAGGACATGTCCGAGAGCGCCAAAAGACTTAAATTCCCAAGACCCCCCCCCTAAACCCTAAACCCTAAACCCTAAACCCTAAACCCCCCCTTTGTTGAAGGTGAATGTCGCGTTTCAGTCCCTGGGCGTCAGTGACCTCAAGGCCGCCACTTAACTTCCGGACACTCGCTAGCCTAGATTGTCATGGTCGTTGCGTAGGTCCCCGGATGCAGATTATATAGGGGGGGGTTCCTTTGCCGCGCAGGCATTCCTATGTTCGCTTGCCTCAGATTGCATTCCGATATTTGTTTCAGCCGTAGTACAATGTCATGCTTTCTGAAGTTGTCTTGTGCTGACTTACAAGACTTCCTCCACCTGAAAGGCATCAGATTTAAACGCCACGTAGGCCGCCGTGTGGCAAACCCAGTCATCCGGATAAAATTGAAGAGCCCTTCCACATGAACACACGCAGCCTAAATTGTTGTATGCGTTGGTGGTTCTGGACTGAGGTGTAGTTGAGTTTGAACGGACGATTATTGTGACACCTTGCCTGGTTTGTGCGAGTGAAAATGCGGTTCACTTGTTGTTGCCAGTATAAGAAATGCTACCTGCTAGTGCATTCGCCTTGGGAGAACGAGAACCTCAATCCAACCCCAAGTTGCGTCCTTCCATGCAGGTCGTCGAAGCCGATCACCGCCCGGATGAACTCGACTTCATGGAGGTTCAGCACCGCGCAGCTGTTCAGGGCTTTTCATAGGGAAAGAAGCCTTGCCTCCTGAAGCTCAAGAAGGGTTTCGACTGTTCCCCAACGCCACCCAAGACAAGATGGGGTCCAAGACGATGCATCCATCAGAACCACCAGTTGTCATGCGGACACCCGCTATGCATGCTCAATCATAGGCGGTTTCAAAGCATGACTCAAAAGAGTCGAAGTCCAGGCCGTCAAGGAGATCACAGAGAAGAAGGCCTCAGCGAAACCGGGCATGTCTGGGCTGCGCGTGCGGTCTTCTAGAATAACAGGGAACAAGATTACCCGTACCCGGTGAATCTTTCGCAGTCATCGGCTCTTGGGCATCGACGTTGTTGCACGACCCCTGCAGCCTCTTAGACTTTGAGTTGCAGACAAGCCTCACTTCCAGCAGCCTGGCCCAGTCCGTGCCGCAAGTTTTCGTGGGTGGCAAGTTTATCCCAGGCGCCGGCTTATGCGTTCGTGTGCCTGTCAATGTTAATGCTCAAGTCATGTGGCTGCTGTTCAATTCGCAGTGGCTTCGTGCTGCGGATGGGTGGGCTGGTTTGGGACATAGCAGGAGCTGTAGTGCATATGCGGCAGGAGCAAGTTCCGGGACTTTGATGTAGGGTTCAGATTTTGCGGTGCTTGTACAGGTCAGGTGATCCGAGTTCAGGCCTTTGAGGTTGGAGAGGTCAGCGATGCTTGCAACCGTTTCTGTCGACATGTGGTTTTGTGTGGGTGCAGACACGTGGACCACAGAGGATGGAATCGAAACCCATGGCCTGTCCAATTTCAAGGAATCGTCTGTTCAGGGACGACCAGACCCCCGCTGCGGTGGTGGTGCCGGTGGTGCAGTTGCTGCTGCAGTGCTTGCTCTCGTCGGTCTTCCGCCCTGCTTCCTGGTACCCTTGGCGAGGTGGCTGCGACAACATCATGGAATTGCGAGAGAAAGGCGAGCTCAAGCCCTTGCTGCAGGAGGCAGGGGCCACCGTACTGCACCGATGATTCGGCAGAGGTTTGGTCGAAGTGCTTGGGACTTCTTTGCTGAAGGCACCCTGCGTCAGCTTGCGAGCCAGTTAAGTCAAGGTGTGGGAATCCCCTACCGCTTTCTCCAAAGCTGCAGGATCTTGACACAGGAGGATGCGCCCTCCCAAGTTGCAACACCCCAAGGGACTGTGCCGTGCTTGGGCTCAATGGCATTTGGCTGCCGGGAGAGATCTTCCGCCCAAGAGCGGAGTCTCGGGGCTTTCAAGTAGGTGGACTTTACGTAGAGGTCCTTTCGATAGGCGTCCTAAGTCCTATGATTTGGTGTCCTTATAGAACTCATCTATAGGTCTTTTGATAATGTGAAACTCCCATGTGGCTCGTAACCCACGAGACTCACATGATTTAGCATTTCAAGATCAAATCATGCCAGGGCTTTGCAGGGGCCTCCAACCTCGGGGCTGAAAAGATGGCGACCAGCGGCGAGCGCAGTTGCGAGTATTTCCGTGGGAGTGGCCAGCATCCGGCCTTCATCTTCTACCGTTCTGAATCGAATGGTTCCCACACTGAAGTCCAGCCCAAGGCAGCAGCCGGTGGGCTTTGTTATTATCCCGAGGCGACTTGTGAAGTGGCCGATTTCAGCTGCTGCGCAGTGACCAGCGCCGTGAGCAAAGAAGCCGACCGGTGCCAGCTACACAACACGATCTACTGCTTTGCGGCCATCTTTCTGGCCTTCCAGCTTCCTGGCCTCTGCCGACGCTTCGGCTTCCGCAGCAAGGCCTCCGAGGCCGAGGCGTCAGCTCCCAAGTTCCTGAGCCCAAGCAAGGAAGCCTTTGAGAACCCTTATAAGCCGATAGAACCCAGACCGACCCCCCACCGCCCTCCGAAAAGAAGGAGGAGTCGGCAGAAGAGGCCTCCCGAGATCTTCCAATTCCTGGAAGATGTCGTCGCTGTGAAGATCAGCGCGGCCATGGTTACAGGTGAGACTCATCTGGTACGGCACATCTTGATCATGGGCGTAGTGGGTGGGATACTTTGCGGAACTGTCGCTGCATCAATAGCCACGGCCATATGCAGTTGGCCAGCAGCCATTCAGTGGATCCTGGCACCATATTCCATGCACGACTCATATCTGCAGTGCCCCCTGGTTCCACAAGGGCCAGCGGCGGCGGACTCGGCTCGGATGTATTGGCTCTTGCAGGCGCGAAACGCATGAGGTCTCAAACCCCAGGCTCACATTTTTATCAATCTTTCGGTTTCGGAACAGCCAGTGGCACATGCTTAAAACGAGAGAACACTCCCTGTCGACACCACTTCTAAAAGAGCTTGATTCAAACTTGAGTTATGCCAATACCGCTCGTTGCTACGCGTCCCTGCTATCGTAACTCCAGCCCATGTCCATAACACCCACAGGAAAGCTATCAAGTCCTACAAAACCTCAACCCATGTAAAAGCTCTTCGTTCTTTCATATTAAGAACGCCAGAAGCATGTTGCTAGACTACTTGTACGTAGTCACAAGCAAGAATTGTGGCCATAGTACTCCCCTAAACCCTAAACCCTAAACTATAGTAACTAGTAGCTCGACTGGACAGGTCTGGAGTTGGCCCTTGGGTTTCGCCTGCCGCGCCATCAAAGGATTCCTTTTCGGAAGTGGGGACATTGTGTTGGGAATGACGGCTTCTTGACTTGGGGCCCGCTTGGTGGTGCTTTCGGGTTTTGTTCAGTGCTTTTGGGGTTTGCGACTTCGGCAGGGTCTGAGTTTCTGTTTGGGATCTTCCAGTGAGCCGTTCAAGAGGTGTTGTCGTTGCGCAGGGCTGCGCCGTCTAGTTTGGAATGTTAGCTGGCCCTTGGGAGTTCCAAAGAATGTAAAGACCCAAAACACCGGACATTTCCTAAACAGTGGGATAGTTTCTAGTCACAGGACACACTAGATGAGGGACCCAAAGGTTGGATGAAACTTCCAGTTCTCCAGGTTTTGGGTTTGGCCAATGGCATCGTGTCGATCGGCGGGATCTATCTGTGCTTGGGGCTGCTATTCGCAGAGTTTTGGGCTCTTGGCTTTTGGCGCGTGATCTTGTCTGCAGAATTTCAAGTGCGGACGCCTGAAGGTTTTTTCTCCCGCAGCCCTCCCTGGACTCGCTGGGCTGGATCTCTTTTGCCAGCTCTGGCGCTTCGTTTCTGATTCTTCTGGCTGCCTTCCTGAACCTTAGACATCGTTTGACTCTCGTTGACGGGTTTGCGGGGGCTTAAGGCACCTGAAAGTAGAGAGGCATTTTCAGATGCAGGGAGGTTGCAGAGGCGGCACCGGCAAAGCAAAATGATTTAGTCCACTTGTAGGGTTACGGTTTACTTATTGTATCATATGAAATTGTGTTAGAGTACTTTTATGGTTTCACACAATACATCTTATGTTTCATATTATATATTATAGGTTTCATATATATATATATATACGCATATGGACATATGTATATAATGTTACATATACTGTTTTATATGATGCTGTGTATATATATATATATATATATATTTGTAGCCTTAAGGTCGACAGACCTGAATCCGGAAGCCAGTCGAGCCGAGGCTATGTTTGCAGCGCGGCGGGACCTCCGCAAGCGCTACGACATGCGCATCACCCGACCGACGCTGGCTTCATGGTTTAGGGGTTAATCGGGTTTGAGTTTACCAAAGAAAGTGTAGGGATGTTGGATAAGAGCTCGCAGCTAGCGCGCAGCCTGAGCCCAGCTTGTCAAAATGGCTACGAGGTTGGGATTCTGGGACTCCCGACAAGTTGTTTCTCTGTCACTCCTCACAGCCCGCAACCCCTGCAACCGAACACAAAAATGTGTGTGTTTTTGTGCACTTGCCTCTCAGCCACGGGCTCTGCAAAATTTCCGCCAAAATGTCTGGCGCAGACATGAAGAGCCGTGGCAAGGAGGACAGTGAGCAGAGCCTGTCTACGGCGGAGGCGACCCTGCGGCACATAGAGTATGTGGTGATGACTCTGGATCACATGAACGAGCAGCTATCGGACATTCGTGGTATGAAGGCTTCCCTGGCAAGGGTTGAAAGGAGCCTCCGGACCACACCATCCGACGCTGATCACGGGCGGCATCACAAAGTTTCGGATGGCAACGGAAGCAGGTCCCTTGAAGCAGGGCGGCTTTTCAAACCTTCTGAGGGCCAAGGAAGCAGGTCTCTGGATGCCGCACTTCACAGACGTTCAGACGGCTCGCTTATGTCAGTCAGAAACGGTGAGGTGATGCAAACTCCGAAGCTGAGCTCGGAGTTTCTTTCGTCTATATATGGACTTGAAGCTGCTCGGGCCGAGGAGTTACGCAGCAGACGAAGAGGTGCAAACAGGGGAAGTCCAAGAAAGCCTGCGGACTCTATGTCCAACAGCTCGCGGAAGCCGTCCAGATCTGCTTCCTTGTCAGCCATTAAACCGGACCAGGCCGTGGGGGACATTGTGCCAGAAGCTCCTCCGGGCCAACCACGGGCTCCCACATCGCCACCTGTTTGTCGGAGGAAGTCCTTGGACGATCTTCGCCAGTTTCACGATGCCGTCATTGCCTCCCCCGCCTTCCCAACTCCCAGCTCACGCCGGAATTCCCTGGAGACAGCAACGGCACTGCCCCTGCTCGGATGGTTCCTGCTGTCGATGGTCGGCATACTCGACTTCTTCGACGGCAGGAAGTGGCGATACCTTGCAAGGTGTAGCCTGCTGATACAGATTGTGGGTGTTATCAGTCTGGTAGCAGCCATGAGTACATGGACTGGTGATTTCGAGGACATCGAGCCTGTGATCACAACGGCGCTTTACTTGTTTGGCGTAGCTGCCGGGATTGTCAGCCTCCGGAGGAACGAGATCACCTGCCTCCTGGGTCCATCCGAGTACATGATGGATGACTATGCACTCGAGTTTGACTTTCTGGACGACTGGAGAAAGCTTTCCAAGGCACGTCTTTTCCAGATGAGCGGCTTTTTCCTCCTTATGGTCAGTTCGCGTGTGGGCGCACTGTTTCTGACAGACCAGGCAATTTTCGGGAAGTGCAAGGAGGTCTTTGGCTTCGATCTTGCCGCGGTGGTGGGCTTCACTGCAATGGCGGTATGCTACTGCACGGCGTGCTACTGCGTGCTGCATGTCACTGCAGGCTTGGAGCTTGCAGTTGACAGCTTTGCCTTGCGCTTTTATAGCACAGGCGATATGGGGGCTGCCGTGATGAGTTGGAACGTCGTGCAAGCCACTTTGCGACAGACTTCCTGCAAAGTCAGCAACTTCCTGGTGCTCCTCGCTTCCTCCTGCATGGGGACGTTGATCTTGTTTGCATACCAGGTCCTGTCTCTGACTCTATCTGGTGAAGGAGCGTCCCTCCTGAACATTATCCAGTGGCTTGGATGGTTGTACTCTCCTCTGGTTCTGCTTCTGTACATCCTGTCGACAGCAGCAGCTGTGACGGAGAAGGTCGACCGCTTGGCACCGCTTGTGAATTCCTGGTCGTTCGATGATCGGGAGATATTGGACGACTCGCGGCAGTATGTGGTCTCTTATATCTTGCATAGCCATGCAGGTTTCTACGCCCGAGGTATTCGCGTTACATCTTCGAGCGTGCAACGACTGGTCTATTTCTTCGCAGCTGGGTCGTTCGGCCTCCTCACCAACCTGTGGCAGAGGTAACGTCTTACTGATGGGAGGCCGAAGGCTCCCGGGCTGCTTACCGGGAGCCCTTGGGCAGCTGCTCTCGGCTTGTTTCACCTGAAGAGATTTCGAGGCTCCGACCGCGAAGCCCGAGGAGCCGTGCTTTGGCCCACACAGCAGAGCTCCTGAAGCATGGACGGTGGGTTCTAGGACTAACAAAAGAGATAGTGAGCATGTCCAAGGTAAGACAGGACAGATCGCATGCTCTGCTTCCGAGCGCCTAAGAGCTCCAACTCATCCAAAACGTAGACGGACTTGGGTGTCCTAGTTATCAAACGGACATATCATAAGGATGTATAAATAGGGTCCTCGGAAGCTTCAGATCCGGTAAACTCGTCTTTCTCAAGATCAACCTGCGATGGCGGGAGGCAAAAGAAAGGCGGCTTGTGAAGTTTCTCTTGTTTTCGGAAGCGCGACTTTGTCAGCGAGGTATGGCATGGGCAGGTTACACATATATTATGTGTAAACAAATAAATATAAATAGATATTAATATAAATATAAATAAATAAATA